ACAAAACGGCCGTCTCCAGAATTTAAGCCGTCGTGGTGTTTATTTTATAACGTCGGTTATTTAAACATGCGACGTCTATACGAAAATAAAACGCTCTGTTTTTCAAATTTAGAACAGAGTTAGTGAGACTTACGATTATTTTTGCCTTCTCTGCAACCTTTGGATCAGGGATGTTTCCTGTTTTATCTTCTCTTGCCTTCTTCCATAGACGAGCTCGATCGATTTCTTCACCGGGCATGGTTTCTACCAATTGGTCCTCCAAACCAACATACCCTTTTCTAGACAACCTATGGTTGTACTCCAATTTCTCCCTCCTCTGTTTCTGCTTAGTATGCATAGCCTCAAAATCTGGGGATAACCTTGAAGCTACAAAGGCATCCCATTGCGATTTCTCTATGAACTTATAAAGCTCAGGGGGTTCTTTTAACTTCTCCTTGTCATGTACGAATGCAAGGATATACTGCCTAGTTACGTTATACTTGAAATCCTTCCATTTTTTGGCGGCAGACGACATGACCATCTTCTTGCACCCATCCCCAATAACATAGGCCATTTGAATAGCTTCCCAAATCTGCTCCTTCACGTCCTTGGGCAATTGATTCCATTTCTTGTCCACAAGAGGGACTCTGGTGCCTACCAAAACACCAATATAAGACTACATCTCAATAGCAGCCTTGCCATGTGGTCTGCCACTTTTATTGAACTCAACCACATGCTTAATCTTCTAAATTTTCCTCTTCCCAACACGGCTCATTGTGTTGATACCGCAGGTGGATTTTGGCTCCTCAAGAAATGTGGCTGTGCTGGGGTCTTTATCGGAAGTAGAAGAAAATCTCATCCTCTTTGAGGATTTGCTTTGAACTGATTTGCCTTCATCCATTTCAGCCTTTGAAATTGATTTGGCTTCATCCCTTTGAGCCTTTGAAACTGATTTGGCCTTTGACACTTGAGCTTCCTTGTTTTGAGATTTCAAAACCATTTTTAATTAATCTGCAAGGAAAACAACGTCGGTTATTAAAAAAGAACGACGTAATAATAAAGAAACCATGTCCGAAAAATACAGCCGTGATATTTAATTTAGGACGACGGTTGTAAAACAACACCGTCGTCGTAAATACAACACCACGACGGTAACACGAAAACAGCGACGCCCTATTAAACAGTCTCTCAGACCATGTATGGAAATAAGATGACGGTTTTATCTCGTTCATGACGTAAATGTTTATACACCACCTCGGTTATTCAGCCTAAGAACCGACGTGGTTTAATATTTACAACGTCAAACACAAAATAAACCATCGTCTTACTGAGATGGGATACAAGAAAAACGACAGTTTTTCTCCCACCAGACGACGATTTTATCTTGTTTCCGACGTATTAATTGTCACACCATGACGGTTATTAACCACCGTCGTGCAGTTTGCATTAGGTTGGATTTAACGACCGTCGTGGTGTGTCGAGTCTATCGTCGCAAACAAGATAAAACAGTCGTCTTTTGACATCGTGAGAGTGATGGACTAATGAATTTAATCAAAACCAGTGAAAGATTTCCTCAATTTGACAGAATCTTGTTTCCAGACAACGACGGCTTTCAAATGAAATGTAAAAAAAGTGAAGAGATTGAGAAAAAAACCTTTGGTGTGCAAAGAAAGTTTTCCTTCCGACGTAAGAAAATGGTGATTTGGAGACGAAGACGAAGACGATGATGAAATTCAGACAATGATGCTGCTTTTGGGAAATGAGAGGGAAACTGAGATATTTTATCGGTGAGAGAGAACGTAGAACATTAGGTCAGGTGACAAAAAGTTTATATATTTTCCCAGAGTTCAATACAGCGACGTTTTTATTAAAAACCGCCCTAGTATTTAGTTATAACGACGGTAAATAAGTCGGAACTGACGTGGTTATCACTACAGCCAAACGACTTTTGGAATTCCGATGTAGTTATGACGGCGCTTATTTATCTAAACTGACGTTGTCCTTCGAAATTCAACGACTATTTATTTTAAGAAATCGACGTGGTTACTTTGGGGTTCTGAAAACGACGTTGTTCTCTTTGCAAAAGTGAAAAGGACGACGTTGATTAGTTAAATATGACATCGCTATGTGTAATAGAACCGACGTGGATATTTACGATAATTTGTTTAAATATGATTTTTCCACGCGTTTTTTAACTCTCATTTTTCAACTAGGGTTCCAACTTCTTCTTGCCCTTTGCTCTGTCTCATCAACTTCTAAAAAATTGTCTTTCTGAAAGCAAATGTTTTTAGTTGCGTTTTCTACAGAATGATTCCTCAGAAGACCATAATTTCTTTGTATAAATTGTCTTTGGTTTTCAGAATGATTCCTCACAAGACCAAGCATGGTGAATTTCTTTGTATAAATTGTCTTTGGTTTGCAGAATGATTCCTCACAAGACCAAGCATGGTGCAGCCGCACTTGCCCGTTTGAAGGCATACCTATTGAATTCCTTATGATAAGATAAAGATGATGGTCATTCCTGATGGTCATTCCTGTTGATTTTGATTATCAGTAGAGATTTGCCTTTTAAATATTGCTCCTATTAAATATTGATCTGCAGGAGCTTGAGAACAAGAGGAAGGAGAGGGCCCAACTTGCATATGAGAGGAAGAAACAGTTGAACAAGCTGAGGGTGAAGGTAGAAAAGAAACCACGAAGAGATTTTCCTTTTAAGACGAAAATGTTGTTGAGGATTGAGAATTAAATTTTGTTTTGTGTTAAGAAAGATATTACCAAAATAAAAGAATAATTGATTAATTTTAAAAAGCAATAAAAATAAGACGGCGGTTTACAGAAAAGGCAGACGTATAAATAGAAAAAATACGACGGTAATTTGAACTTAGGACGTGGTAAATAAATACGACAGTAGTGTTGTAGGTACCGTCGTAGTACACTCCAAAATAATGAGTCGATAAATTAATCTCTCGCGTCATGGTACATTTTTTAGCACGTCATTTTTTTGTAATATACCGACGAGGATTCCATTACATTATACGACGTGGATTCCATAAAATTATACGACGTGGATTCCATTAAAGAATAACCGACGTAGTTTTTTACAATTAGACGGCGGTATGTGTATAAGGACCGCCGTGGGTTTTAAAGATTTATTGTATAAATTTGACGCTTTCTTTCAGTTTCAGTTTTCATTCAGGGTTCCAAGTTCTTCTGATCTCTCTGGAGGCTCGTCTTCCTCTCTCACATACATCATCACTCTCTCTCACATCTCAAAGACAATAATTTGGATGTTAATGATGTATGCGTTTTGGTGTATCTCAAAGACACCAAGACGCACACATCATTAACTTTCAAAACATTGTATTTCTCAAAGTTTGCAGTGGTCAGTTCAATTCTGGTTTCTTTTTGGATTTTGTGTATTTAAAATATTGTCTTTCTCACTTTGGTGGTTCGATTATGATCAGGATCCAAAGATCTCAATGGTAAGATATCATACCTCTTGGGATCTCATTTTAATTTTCGTAGGCTACCAAAATTTAAAAATAATTAAATCTTAAAAAGAAATAAAAATTAAGACGGCGGTTTACAGAGAAGGCACCGTCATAGTATACCGACGTGGATTCCATTATATTATACGACGCGGACTAAGAACAGTTGGTCGTGTTTAGTTAGGAGTTAACACGGCAGGTTTTTTGGTGAACTGTCGTCTTTATTTTCTACGTCGGTGGATTCATACCTGCTATCGTTGTTTTTTGGTCAGATTTTAACTCTAAAGAAAACTTTTTTAATAAGACGACGCTTTTTTATTTGTGTGCGTCGTTTAAAAAAAATATTTGACAGTACCTCCATTTTAAAGTTGTTTAAGGCACTTATCCACGACGGTTTTTTGTTACCGTCGTCTTTTTAAACACAACGACGGTTTTTTGTTCTGCCGTCGTCTTTTTCACTTTTTGTAGTAGTGCTTTTATTATTAAATTCCTACTTGTCTTTCAAGTATTTTGATTGAAGATCACGTTGGTATTTCCTTGGGCCTCAAGGGTAATCTTGCTTTGTATTGGAAAGTATCTTTAATTGGCAATCACGTTTTGAATCAGATCATTGTGTCTAAAGGGTTGGGATATTCTTGGAATTAATTCAAGAATATTAGGAATCTTGATAAATTATGAATATCCTTCCTGGAGTAGACGTGTGTTTTATACATACTAGGAAACATATCTTTGGTTATTTGGTTAGCCTTCAATGAAATTGATTTTGTGTTGGACGTGGACTTTTATTCTTAGAGAAGAAAAGGTTCTATAAAATAAGACCTTTGTCTTCTTTGTTTGTAGAGCTTTCACGATCATATTTTCAGTCCATAAACTTTGGAAAGCTGAGTTTTTATTTGAGATAAATCATCAAGTGTTCCATGTTTACTTGGTGATTTATCAAACACTTTTATCATTCATATTGCATTCATTTGCATGTTCAGTGACTCATACGGTCTAGGGCACAAAGACCGTTGTGACGGTTTTTCTTTGGTGAGCTTGAATCGATTGTGACCAATATCGGATTCAACATAAGGAGAGTTGGAAGAACTTCGGCGAGCTTGAAGCAATCGTGACCAATATTGCGTTCAACATAAGGAGTGTCGAAAGATCATCCCGTGACAGAAGTTGAGTTACAAAGAAGTAGGTAAACATTATCTAGAATGTGTCTAGGATAAGTGTGTGAATACTTCTTGTAATCATCGTTCTGTAGTGGATTTGTTTTGGACTGAGGAGTCCCGTGGATTTTCCCCAGAGGTAGGGTTTTACCACGTAAAATACTTTTTGTGTTTTTCTTTGCTCTTACATGCTGAACTGCACAGGATTGATACATCGTATCAATTCCCTTGGCGTGTTTTATTTGTATTATCGTAATACTCTTGACTACTCAAAACGCAGACTTTACGTTTTTAGTGTTTTAAGCCATCCTATAGGTATTTTCAATTGGCATCAGAGTAGGTTGCTGAACATACTCAGCAAGATCTGACATACCGTAGGATGGATCGTGCCTCGGGCTCAGTTGCACATCCACCATATTTCGATGGCAACAACTATGTCGTTTGGAAGCCCAAAATGAAGTCGTTTCTTTGGTCCTTAGATGAACGTGTATGGAATACAGTGGTTCATGGATTTCCTAAACCCACAAAGAAGATTGGAAAAGGAGATGAAGAAACCACAGTCCTCAAAACTAGAAAGGAGTGGACCATTGCAAAAGTCACACACAACACTAATAATCAAAAAGGGTTAAATGCTTTATTTACTGCTGTCTCTTCCAATCAATTTGAATATATATCTGGTTGTGATACTTCTAAGGAAGCTTGTGATATTTTGCAGGTTACTCATGAAGGAACAGATACTGTTAAGGGAGCCAAGCTTCAAATGCACACTTTACAGTTTGAGACACTCATGATGGATGAGAATGAAACTTTTTCTGAATTTTATGTTAAACTTTGTGTAATTGTGAATGCTTGTTCAAGTTTAGGTGAAAATATTCTAGAAGATAGGGTTGTGAAAAAGATATTGAGATCCTTGCCTCAACAGTTTCAACCAAAGATCACGGCTATTGAAGAGATCTGTGACTTGAACACCTTGAAAGTTCAAGAACTCATAGGGTCCATACAAACCTATGAGATGAAACATCTAGCTCCTAAAAAGTGCAAAAGTGTTGCTTTCAAGGTTGTGAATGAAGAAGATGATGAGCATTCAGATGAAAATTGCAGTGATGAGGAATTAACGATTCTAACAAGACGATTCATGAACTTTCTCAAGAATCAGGATCCAAGTAGTCGAGATTCAAAAGGTATAAATTCTAAAAATAGGTTTGTTGACTATACTGATGGTGGGTCTAAATCTCGCAGGTCAAATGAACGAAAGAATCTAAGAGAAAAGGTCCAATGTTTCGAATGTTAAGGCTATGGTCACATATCTTCGGAATGTGCCAGCACCTTAAATAAGCAGAAGGATGGGAAGAATAAGGCACTGCATGCTACTTGGAGTGACAGTGATTCTGACTCTGAAAATAAAGAGAAGGCCATTGCACTTATCACGACTGTAAGCTTGGATGAACCAACGAAGAAGGATGATGATTGTGAAGATATGGATGTTGTGTTTATCATCAACAAATATGATGATTTGTTGGTTGCTTCTCAGAAACTCAGCAAACAAAATGAAGAGCTCGTAAGTTTGATTGATTTATTTGGTGCAACCAAGACACTTCTTGATGAAATAGGTCATAATGGACCTACATCACAATTTCGTGGGAAGCTAAGAGTATTTATATTGCCATGATGTCGTATGAATTTGTTTTTTGCTTACTTTTGTTGGAAAAAACTATGGGATTCACAGATTTTCTTTGTCAATCACTTCAAAGCAAATCTCAAGACATTGTAAATGCTTTGAATCTTGTTTCAAATACAAAAATGAAGCTTGATGAGTTGAGAAATAATGGTTGGGATGATTTTATCAAAAGTGTGCTATCATTTTGTGAACAACATGACATTAGTTTACCTGATATGAGTGCTCGTCATAAAATGGGTAGAGGTCGTTCTTGTCAACAACACGATTCTATTACAGTTGAGCATTATTTTAGTATTGATGTATTTAATGATGTAATAGATTTTCAGTTGGTAGAGTTAAATACTAGATTTCCAGAGCAAGCCGTGGAACTTCTTTATCTTACCTCAACATTGGATCCCCGTGATTCATTTAAGCAGTTTAACATTGGTGATATATGCAATCTTGCTGGGAAGTTTTATCCTCAGATTTTACTACCACTGAGTCACAGGCTTTACATCAACAGTTGGGATTTTATAAGACTGATATGGATCGTCTTCCAGCCTTCAAGAATCTTGATTCTATTCCTGAATTACTTAAGTGCTTACTTGAAACAGGGTTAACACACACCTACCACTTGATTGATAGATTGATTCGTTTAGTGTTAATTCTTCCGGTTTCTACAGCAACAACAGAACATGCATTTTCTTCTATGAGACTTATCAAAAATCGACTTCAGAACAAGATAGAGGATGAGTTTCTTGCTGATTGTTTGATACTTCACATTGAAAAAGAATTTGATGATAGTATCAATAACGAATCAATAATTAGTGATTTCAACTCTTCGAAGCCTAGAAGGGTGCAACTCAAATAGTTGTATTATGTATTTGCATTGCATATTTATTTATTATTGTCTTTTTTTACTAGTTTATATCTTATGTACTAGATGCATTTTGAGGGTAAGGCTCAATATGTCCCTCCTAATTAGGTGTATAATTTTTGTTATCAATGAAATTCACTCGTACCATCGAGTTTGTTTATAAGGGAAATCCAGCCTAGTGTATTTCAAAATCCTGAATTCATCCCTGGATATGCTTCACACGGGTTGCTCTCCATGTTTTTTCCTTTGTCTTGAGCAGATTTCTTTGACTTTGGCAGAACATATTTTCATCTTTCTTCTAACTTCTTCTTGCAACACATTGCTTATTCCTCCTCCTCATCATGCTATTGGTGGAAGATACTTAATATCTACAAACAACCTCTCAATTAAATACAAAAAAAAAAGATTGGAAATAACCAATACAAATACTCTAATAGATTTAAATAAAACAAAAGAAAATACTAACAAATATAAATTTAAGGATAAAACTTGTATTAATTTTGTGCTCATCAAATACCCCCAAATCTATATTTTGCTAGTCCTCGAGCAAAACAAAATAAAAACTAAGTAGAAAAGAAAACTAAGCCACTTTCGCAGGGATCTCGATTGCATTTAGTGTATGCAACAAGCCTTTAAACCCCTAGGTTACCATAGTGGACGAGTATAGTTTCGTGAGGGCTTTCAGTGATGATACCCACAAACATCGAAATGAGATAACTTATGCTACAATAAAATTGAAAATTTAAACAAATGCTTAACCATCATCAAAGCTATCTTGATTGCAAATTCATGAACAATTTTTAAAAGAGCAAACACGTTTCAAATTAATCCCCACATAGAGTCTCAATCACTATAATCATTTAGTAAATTTTTCATTTGTTTCCTTTGGTGTTTAAGTGAACCAACATATTTTAGAGACAAAAGTCAATTTCAATCACAATAACCTCATTATTTCAATCATTATCAAATTTTAGTGGAAATAACTACCCAAGGCATATATACTTTTAAAAAAAAAAAATTGTGACTGTGCAATGTTTAGTTCCATTAAGCTTTCTAATTAACCTTTGTAGCGAGATTTAGGTCAATGACTCTCAAACCAAAGGTTTTAAGGCATTAGGTGTAGAAACTCGAGTTAAAAAGGCTACATAACTAAACTAGTCACAAAATGTATTTACCCCAAAACTTTCCCGTTTGATGTGAACACTCGCTGCTGTTTAGGCAAAAGGCCCGGTTACTAAGTAAAACTCTAGATAAATTAACATTATTATTATTATTATTATTATTATTATTATTATTATTATTATTATTATTATTATTATTATTATTATTATTATTATTATTATTATTATTATTATTATTATTATTATTATTATTATTATTATTATTATTATTATTATTATTATTATTATTATTATTATTATTATTATTATTATTATTATTATTATTATTATTATTATTATTATTATTATTATTATTATTATTATTATTATTATTATTATTATTATTATTATTATTATTATTATTATTATTATTATTATTATTATTATTATTATTATTATTATTATTATTATTATTATTATTATTATTATTATTATTCTTTCATTCTCACTAAAGTGTTGATGTGCATGTGAGAATTCAAAGTATAACTCATGAATTATCCACTAAATAGAATTAAAAAATAAAAAAGTTATATAAAAAAACCCTAAAAATTTAAAAACACTTCTAAACCTTACCCCCAAACCTAAATCAAACATTGTCCTTAATGTTTCAAAATAAAAGCATAGCAAATGCATGAAATAAGAGGGTAAATGATATAGAAAGATAATACGTGGAAAATACGCATGTCCAACTTCTCAGAGCATCTCCAAGGGAGATGTTAAATGCAAAATGTTAAATTTGAATTTGATGGATTATGTGACAATTTGACACTTTGGAAAAAAATTAACTCCACCAAAAATGCCAAATATCATATTATTTTATTATATTTTTAAAAGCAAATGGGACCCATATGATGCATAAAGTTTAAAAGAGAGGAAATGATAGGGTCCATGACTAAAACAATATTAAAATAATATTTGACATCAAGTTTTTTGATATGTTATTTTTGACATATCTCTTCAAGCCTTCAAATCCATATAGAATTTGACTACTCGGTTGGAGCAACTTTAACCTTCAATTTTTGTCATTTCATGTTCATGTGGCAATTTGACATATCGGTTGAAGGTGCTCTCAGGAACCCACACACACACACACACACACATAACCCTAGGCCGACCGACCCTAAGAGAAGACTCATTTCGGGGTCTTCATGCTATTTTCAAATTTTTGGGGCTGTTATGCAATTTCTAAAAAGGGTTAGCTATTAATTTCCCCCCTCAACTTGTACTTAATTTTCGATTTACCCCTTATCCTTTTTTTTTTTAGAAAATTAAAGATAAGAAATTTTGTTTTCCATCAATTGCCCCCCGCTGTCTAATCCTCAACATTTCATCCAATTTTCTGTTAAATCATTAAAAATATTTTTTTTTGTTGAAAAAATACAAAAAACATAACCAAGAAAAAAACTCTACCCCATCCACAGACCCAGGGCCCCACTCTCCCTCCCTTCTAGTTTTTTTCTCCTTCTCATCCTCTTCCCGACGCTTCTCCCCCACACCCAGCGACTCCAGGCCATTCCCAGGGATTCCAGGTCAGCCCCTCCAACCCTCTCTCTCTCTCTCTCTCTCTCTCTCTCAACACAGTTGTATTTTCATGCAATATTATCTCATCCTCCTCCTCCTCCTCCAAAGGATGCAACCCTTACCTCTCCCACTCATACCCACCTCTCCATCCCCCAGCTCAACCACTCCAACACTATCTCTCTCTCTCTCTCTCTCTCTCTCTCTGAATGGTCAATGAGAGTAAAGGAAAGCTCATATAGAACCCATAAACATGATCAGAATATTTTTCTCTATGTCTCTTAGCCTATCAATGGCCAAGTCAAATGGGTATTTAAAATACCAAATGTGTATTGCTATTCAATTGGTGAAAACAAAATAATCATGTTGAATTTTTGAAATTAACGGTGAGTGTTGATGGCTTCGTGAGTTGGAATTAGGGTAGTGGCTAGTGGAATTGGATGGAATAATTTGGGGGAGGAGGAAAGGAGGAGAGAGAGAGAGAGAGAGAGAGAGAGAGAGAGAGAGAGAGAGAGAGAGAGAGTGGTGGGTTGATTTTTATTAACATTCTTTTATTTTTTGTATTTTATATTTAATGTTATTTTATTTTTCAGTATTTAGTTATTTTTAATGTATAAATTGACCAATTTGCTCTTATATTTAACGGCAAATTGGATGAAATGTTGACGATTTAGACGGTAGGGGGGAAATTGGGGAAAAATAAAAGTTCATATCTTTAATTTTCTAAAAAAAAGGATATTGGGTAAATTGAAAGTTAGGTGCAAGTTCAGGGGGTAAATCAACTGTTAACCCTTTTTAAAAATTACAGTTTTGCCCAAAATTTTAATTAATTGTGGTTTTACCTCATTTCACTAAATGACAAAATGTATTCGCCTTTGTGTGAAAAATATTTATTTGTTTGAAATAAATGTTCCATTGAAGTTAAGCCCATATTATCCAATAACAAGTTGTTTACTTTGCTTCCTAGCTTAAGTATCTAATTAGATTAAAGAGTAATTTGCACTGACACCCTCTTAGGTTTTCGGATTTTTCAAAAAACACTCTGAGATTTTGAAAATTACACGAACACCCCCTGAGGTTTGAAATTGTTGTCACAAAACCCTTTTTCGTTGATCTTTCGCCCAAAGATTATTGATTTTATATAAAAATAAAATAAAATTTTGTCCAAATGACAAAGTTAGCCTTTGAAACCTCAGGAGGTGTTCGTGTAATTTTTGAAACCTCATGGGGTTTTGTGAAAAAACGGAAAACCTAAGGGGGTGTTAGTGTAAATAACTCTTAGATTAAATAAATAAAGGGTGATTATGGACTTAGGGCTTATCCAATAATTGAGCAATGTCATTGGCAACCTATTCATTAAATAATGAATGTGATTGATTAAATGGGTAGTAATCTATGTAACTCCCTCAACACCCATTGGGCTTTTGAGTTTTTCTTTTGAAATAGTTATGTAAATTAGGAAGATGGAGGCCCAAGCTCAAGGAAGGGAGATTAATTTTGTAAATTAGGAAGATGTCCAATGCCCACAAACCGTGTATGTTCTTAACTAGTTAAGACGGGTAATAAAATCAATCACTCGCCTTAGATATCCGACATCTTGGCTCGATGTTGGATCACACTAAAAGTCCATAATCATCCAAAGGCCTTGTCTATAGGCCTAGTAGTTTAATTTGATTAAATGTATATATGTTGAAACCTTAAAACCCTCAATTAACCCTAAATTAAGTAGAGAAGCAATTTGCACTTTGAATGCCTAGTCATGGCCTTCCACCATGGTGGATTCTCATTAAACATGACCCTTGCAATAAAGGCTTGCCCTTAGATATGGGGGGCCAAAGTAGAGTACTTATGTTTAAAAGGAGTCCGTTTTATACATTGGATGTTGCGAATGTAGGCAACAAATATGGCCAATATTCTAATATAATGAGGTTATGTTTGGACTCTTATACTTGCAAGCATGGTGGGCTAATGCTTAACTAGTACAATGGTGCTTCACAATAATATTTGGAGGTACACATTTGCTAGAGGCCAAATTAGATGGGAACTCACATCAAGATGTGAATCAGTAGAATGATTCTCTCTTTATTATTTGAGAATTCCCAAGAACCTATTATGTTGCGGTGAACAAGGTATAAGGAGCCTCCTATCCCACTAAGAGTTTTCAACATAGAATACTCTACAGTTCTGCTTTTGAGGGATTGCATAATTAGTCAAAATAGTGGAAGGTGTCATTTGATTTAAAGACAATGGACTTAAAATCAATCTAGTTTAAATCTGTTAGGTTATATTTATTTTGATATATCTGCGAACACGCAT